AGAGGGGTGCAGCTATCCTTCCTATCCCTTCTTTAATGAGAACTGGAATTTATTTCTCCTCCCTTTGCATTTAAGCTGAACTGTGATTGGCTTCTACAATAGAACACAGCAAAAGTTTCTTCTGGTGTGAGACACTTTCCAGTTTCTATTGTCACTCTTTGGAAGACAGACCTGTAGGGAAGCTTGGACTACTCTGCAGGATAAGAGACCACATACAGGGGATATCAAAGAAGATACAACGTGCCTTGGACAAGAACCAAAGCCAAGGTCCTATGCACTGCATATCTGGGATACTCAGAGGCATGGTTTGGGTATGGTTTGAGTTTGATCCCTCTGGGGTCATGTGTTGTAAGCTATGCTGAGTTGGAAGAAAATATGGAACTTTTAGAAGATGAGGCCTAGTGGGAGGTCTTTAGATCCACTAAAGGTATTTCTGCAGAAGGCATCATGGGACATTGGTGTCATTCTGGCTTCCTGTCTGGTAACGTGATTTCTTCCACACACATTCATGTAGCTTGACAGTTACATAAATTTAGGTCCACCTTTGGGGTATCATGTGCTACAAAGTACTCATCACAGCTGAATTTATGCTGGTGTTATGCCCTCAATCTTCCAGAACTGTAACTAAATAAATCTCTTTTTCTTTTTAACATGAACTAGTTCAGATATTTCATTATAGTAACAGAAAACTGGCTAACATACTCAGGCAAATTTACCTGCAGCAAATACCACACAGAATGGAGAATAATCATTTCTGCCAAGATCTGGCTGAATTATTGGCCTATAGAAATCCTAAACGATTCAATAGTTATTACTTTTTGTCTTTGAATTTTGGGACTCTGAGCTCCTTATAAATGGAGGGAGAATGTTTCCATCACCAGATTATAGTACCTGACTCACAGAAATGTTTTACAATAAGAACCAATATAAAAATAGAAATCTTTGGACTACTCTGATTCTCTTCATCACAGTGTACCCTTTATGCCCCAGCTGCTTGACATGGAATCCTTTCCTGTTTGTTGAGTACAGGCCTGATCTTTGCATCTCAAGATAAAGTCTCATACCATTACCTTTCAGTTTCTTATTAAAGCTCTTTCCTATTAAAAGATGGGGTCTTCTCAGAGAGCTCATAGAAAAGATACCACACTAAAGATTGTTTGCAGGAAATGGGAATCATGAAATAAAAGACCTCATAGAATGGTTGTTAAAGTAAGATGAAAGGAGTCTCCAAAAGTCTTTGAGTTTCTGAATTCTAATATTTGGTGAGACTATGAACCTCTGCTTAAGTCAGTGCACTGCCCATTGAGCCTTATAGATAGTAGCTTCCCCAAGGCTTATCAGGCAGATACTATTGTGGACAATGAACCTATAAATCACACTTTCAGACTCTGGAAGAGATTTGTCCATAATGGAAGCAGAGAGGCACCAGATTCTGAAGACTTGTGGAGGATATGATAAGGAGGGGTCGGTAGGAAGCTTAGCTGACATGTTCCTAGAGCTACAAAGCATTCCCACAACAATCTGAGTCCTTTCCCTTCACCCAGAACCTGCTGATCAATCCAGCCAAATGATTTATCTCTTACTTTCTCCTTCCCCACGAAGCCTTGCTGAATTTAGTTCTCAATGGCTCCAAGACCTATGTGCTTCACAATCTAATTTCCTTTCTCCTTCCTGGAGTGCCTTATGATTGTTTCCATACCTTTGCACTAGCATTGCCTACTTTCATATCTGAAGCTTCTTTCCCCTCTTTTCTTTATTAGGCTCCCAAAAATCAACCCCTTATTTGCCTTGTCATTTCCAGTGCTTTAGGATTTAATCTGACTCTTCCAGGTTCCATAAATCTGTCACTGACCTTCTAAGTGTGGTTTCCTAGAGAGTGTAGAAAAAGGAACTGTCTTGAGAGCTACATGAATTTAGATCCAAATCCTGGCTGTGTTTCCATTGGTTCTGCTAATGTTCCTTAGTGACTTAGTTTCTTCAGCTCTGTAAGTAACATCACCCTGCCACCTCACTGGGCCATTGCACAGGTATAGGAGACTTCCATGTAACATGTTCAGGTAGCAGAATGTTCACAGATGCTATTTTTCTCCTCTTTTATGACTTCTATATCTATTATACTCCTGAAATTTGTGACAGCTTTTATCTTTGCGTATCATTTACTTTTAAAGCTTTTGTTTTAATTTTATTATAGGTTTCTTCTTAATAACTGAACTATAAATGTCTTACTTATTTTCATGTGCACCAAGGATAACATATTCATAAGAATTTGTGAAAGGATTAATGAATAAATAACAGGAAAACCAACTAGCTAGAAGGACCTACTACCCTCTACAAGGTAACTCCACAAACATTGCATTAGAATGCATCTGACCTCTGGACTTTTGTTTTCCAGGAAAGGAATGAGCAGGGAAAACCTCACCACCTATTTTTTTCTGTACCATTAAGGACCATTTTGACAGGAAGAAATGGATATCGTGTCCTATTTCAAATGACTATTGAAGGCACACAGACTTAAGAATAATGAAGGCATAAGGTTTGCCTCACAGGGTTTAGGCTTTCTTAATAAAAATTTGCTGCCAGACCAGAAGTAATTCATGTGAATTAAAAAGAAATTATGTAAATAATAATTATAAATTAATTATGTGGGCCTGAGGAAGTCAACAGGACAGGAATATCATGTTTGTAGATTAAGGATTTTAAGAACTCTTCTGTCTTCTGTGTGCATTTGCTCATGAAGAGGGAGAAGGAACCCTCCAGTGTTTTATTAGAAGCAAGAGGTAGCATGACATATGAGAAGTAAACAAGTGATGAACACCAGCTCTATTGCATCCTAGTGGTACATGAGATAGAGAGAGAGAGAGAGAGAGAGAGAGAGAGAGAGAGAGAGAGAGAGAGAGAGAGAGACCTATGCAATATTGTTAACCTTCAAAAAGCTTGAGAAACCAACTCCAGAAAGTTTCCAGAATGGAAAGGTCCTGGGCAGAGTCAGGGTATTCAAAACTTAACTCCCTTGGGTCACAGGGAGGAGGATTCCCAAGCAATTGCTAACAGTGATTTTTGTATTGTTTATCATGCTGGGAAACCCTTTGGCAGCAGCGTCTTTACAGTGTCCTCCAAAATATAAAAGAGATAACTAGTATCTCTCTGGGGTTGTGACTAAGCAGGACAAAAAAGGGTGAGGGAGTCTTGGCAGAAGGGGGTAGGGTTCTAACCAGTGGTCATAGGACATGAGGTCTGGCAGAAAATTTTTAGAAGACCTCAGATGTCTGCAGGCTTTTATGGATTGCTATGGGCAACAGGCAAGGTTTGTGGTTGAGACCTAGCTTGTTAAAACTGGGGCTGAGGATTCATTCACATCAGAGGGAGAAACAGGCCTTTGTGTGCTCTGTGACACTCTGATCTCAGCAGGGTTTATTTTTTCTGGAAAATATTTTTTAAGTCATAATTGAGGCTCTGAGAGGAAGCCAATTTCAACTTAGTGACACCTAAATATGTCTTAGCCCACTAGCTCTGGAAGGCCCTTCTGAAAGAGTTGTCAAGAAGACAACAGTGGTTCTTAGACTTGGCTGCTGCTAGGCAAGAGAGCCCTGATGTCTAAGGATACTAGATTTTTGGAGGAGCACTTAGTAACAAACCTTTAGGATCTTAGGTTCTGTCCTTACTGGGGAGTGTAATAACCCCATATCTGAGACTCTAATCTTAAATACAAGAATGTGGTCACAAATCAAGGTAAAGAAAAGGGAAAACAAACTAAATGTGTGTCAACTCTAATGAAATCTCTAAGGGTCAGAATGATCCAGAAAGTGAGTAAGTGAGTGGCCAGAGAGATATAGACATTTCGGGGCAAGGAACAGCTGGGGCAGTGATCCCAGTGGAGACCAGCTTAACAATGAATAGGTTGGGGGGATATATTTTGGCGATCACAGCTGTTTACAGATGTGTGAACAGGCTCCAGAGCACCTCCTTTCTCTGCTACAGGACACACCACTTCGGTTCCCTGAGTGAGGTAGTCCTGTGAGTGCCTTAGTTTTGGAGCAGTCTGACATTTTCCTGGCTGGATGGTGACTCCCGAAGACCACAGAGTGCAGGAAGATTGCAGGGGTCCTGCAGAGCTGCTCATTTCCCCAAAGTGAGACTACCTGGTGGGCTGCTCAGGTTTGGCCCAGAAGGTGACTTTCTGCCTGCTGTTCAGAGCAGAGCACAGGGCAGTGTGGAAAGTAGAGAACTGACTTCCTACAAGACCCTCACACACTCAGGTTCCTTCTTTCAGTGACTTCTTGATTTCTTTCTCCTTCTAAGTACATTGTCTAAAATAACTTAGTTACAGGGTAATAATAGAAAAAGAAAGTGTAAAATGGGAGGAGGAGACTATACGTCTGCATTAAATATGCCGGTTGAATTTCTGTGCACAGTGTCACAGTGAGTCATATTTTCTGGAGTGTTTTAGAAAGCAATGGCTGTGATATCAATTTTTTTTAAAAACCCAGCCTCCAATCAAGGTTTGAGTGATGACAACGCTTCATTGAACACTGAAAAGAACTCGCCGTTCAACTGCTGAGGCGTTTCATATGTAGCCTGGAAAAAATGCCACCTACATCACATCATCTTAGAAAAATTAATTTTCACTTCCTCTTTTTCTTTTCAAAGCATCACAAAGGGGTCTCTTGAGGGACTGAAACTTAGCTGCTGTGTTTGTGTTTAAGCCTTTACAATCCTGCCCCCAATGGCTTGAAAGAAAACGAAAGTCCGGGAGGTAAGTCTGTGATTTACAGAATCTAAATCCGCCTGTGTCTTCTCTTCTACAGAAAAGAATTTTTCTCTTTTCTCCACACTTAAACTTTTTAGCTCAGCACATCTACATAGTAGTTGAAGGGAGGATTCAAAAAGCATAAAGCACTTCCTCAAGAGGACTTTAAGTAGGGACTGCCTCAGACAACTTCACCAGGAAGCACTGGCAGGTTCAGGGCTTCCTGAGCAAGGAGGGGGAGAGCGTGTCTTACCTGTGCTTCTTCCTTCACTGCTCCGTTACTCGTGTGCTTTTCATCTTGAGAGGTGCAGCTCTGCTTCTGGTGGTTGCGGAGAGTCCCATTGCCCATGGTATAACCTCCAGGATTAGACATTTGTAGGAAGGGACGGAGCCCAACAGATGTTCCTTCCACAAGGTGTCCCTGAGTTTTGGTTTTTAAGTAGGTAAAGTGATGAGAGATAAATCACTTTGGGGCTGAGCTCTTAAAGGAATCCTGTCAGTCAGGCTTTTCCAAAAGAAAAGCTGCAGTGTAAACAAATGGTTACCTTTATGCTCCCCAACCTTTCTCAGAACGTGGATTCCATGGCAACAAGCCTACTTCCCAAATGACAAAGGCAGTTGGCTTTGCTAGCTCCTCTGGCAGACTGAGGAAACCTGGGGCAGTGAAACAAGGTGACAGACTGTAAGGAGGAGGGCCGGGAGGTGGAGAATCTTTTAAAGACACACACACACACACACACACACACACACACACACACACACACACACACAGATCACACTCCCAGAATCTTGTAAGTACTGCACAGCTGGTTCCAAATAGGTCTCTCTCCCTTAGTCTCCTAATTCCCCCTTCACATAATTATAGTTGTTGGTTGTTAATCCAGTCTAAATGTCATGATTTCTTTTTGCTGCACAAGAACATGCAGAAATGATTGCCAGGAGCTAGAGGAGCAAAGGAATGGAAAGTTACTGTTTAATGAGAACAGAATTTCAGTTGGAGTGGAAGAAAAAGTTATTGTGAGGGGCCTTGCACAACAACGTAAATGTACTTAATGCTGCTGAACTGTACTCTGAAAAGATATTAAAATGGTAAGCTTTATGTATTGTTTACCAAGCACATTTAAATATACAGACCCATCCAATATATAAAAGCAATGACATGAAAGGAATTCTACCCCACCAAGACTTAGAGTAGGACAGAAAAATGAGGGGGCAATGTATTTAATTTCTCATCATAAATGCATTGTCGTTATCACCTAAACTTGGAAGAGCCACTTACCCTGTTACGTCTCAGTTTTTCTTTCATTAAAATGAGACACGATAGTTTTGGAAACAGTACTGCAGTGTGGGTCTGCTGACGTAGGCATGGTGAGGAAGATAATTCACTGTGGTGTCTCAGTCGTAGAACACTTCTGGTTTACTCATTAATTCTTGTTCCCTCCATGCACAGATCATCAGAGGCTTGTTTCTTCTTGTGAACATTTCCGATGGCATGATTTATTAGGGAATGTTAACCATTTACATTATCTTTGTGATGGGGCTTAAAGGAATGACACTCCAAAGTAATGGAAACTAACCTAAAGCTCCTCTTTTACCTTCTCCTATCCACCTGCCTCCTGCTTTTGTGCTCTTGCTGTTACCCCAAGGGAGGCCACAGACACTAAAATCCCTTTTTCCCAAAGTGAGACATAAAGCCTGAACATCTATTCTATTCTTCCCCAGTTTTTGTTTTGTTTTGTTTTAGAGATAACCATAAAGAACGTCTCAGATTTACCTTGTCTGAAGTAGGTCATAAGACTCCCATTTTAGGAGGAGTCCTGACCCTTATCTGGAAAAAAGTCCTGCTGCAAGATGAAGAATCTAAACATACCAGTTTCACCAAGTTTCCCTGCACAACAGAAAACATGTAGTATAAAAATATATAGTTTGCCCTGGGTCTTTGGGTCTTTAATTGGAAGGGTCCCATGTTCTATGATAAAATAAATTTATTTTGCTTTTCTCTTGTGAGTGTGTCTTTTCATACACAGTTGTTGGCCAGCCATAACCCTTTATGGCTACCTCTTCTGCCTCTACCCTGAAGTAACATATTTTTTGATATCAGACAATTTATTGGATCATCAGACACAAACAAGCAGGCAGGCAAACAAAGAAAAAAAAGAAATAGTGCCTATTGTCAGAGCCTCATTTCCTGGTTCTAAGTTCTTCTGTTGGGTTTGTTTCTCCTACAAAATGATGTGGCTTTCAAAAGACATTATCAAAATGCTTTCCCAGCCATGATTTTCATGTGAGGGTCCCCATTTTTTCCCATTCCAGAGAGTGGTAGAAGAATAAGACAACTTCACGGGCCGTATGAAAAGATGGACTTAATAGCTCAGAATATTTTTACATCTCTCTCAATCTCTGTCATCGGACAGAACAAACTTTTCACTGGTCTCTCTGTCCATGGTTGTTACTTAGATATTGGGAGCTACATTCTTTTTAGATTATTTCTTTCTAGGCTTAGACATTATTGGGAGGGAGAACTGATTACTGTTGTTTTCACTCCCTTGCCTTACTTAGATAAGTTGAAAACATTGTATTCTTTTAACTGAGCTCTATTATTCTGCACAGAAACATAAATATTATTTTTGGCTCTGGGACTGAATCACCTCTCCAACCTCTAAAGCTATTTTTGTTTCTTTTCTTTCTCCTTTACTTTTTCATTCTCTTTTCCTTTCATTCTTTATGTTTCTTCTTTTTCTTTTCCTCCAACACCTCTTTCTTCTCTTTCTCATTTTTATTTTCTTCTTTCAAGGGAACAAAACCATCTGTAAAGAGAACATCTCAAGACACAGTAAAAATCTGTTTCACCTTTTTCCCCTAATCTTAGATGCCAAGTTAGGTAACCACATAGACACTTTGAGGCAATACCAACTACATGCTCTTATTCTTGAATATTTTCTATTTTACATTTCTATTGCCATATTGGAATGTATGCTTTGTGTGAATGAGATCATCTTAACATAACTATATGATAAATGTACTGCTAGTATGTTTATCAGGACAGCTTTTTAAAAAAAGTAAATGTAGATATCTATTCAAGTGTGATATAGCTTTAAATTTACACATGGAGATAATGCAAAAACACAAACTAAATATTGAGCAAGATTTTGTGTCTCTGAATGATTAAATAAATTTGAGCAAAGCTGTAATGAAGTAACCAAAATGTGCAAAGCAGTAGTGAAATTAAAAAGAACATATAGAGCAAAAATGAAGATAACAAGAAAGTGCAGAGCGAGAATGGTAAAAAGGTTTTGAAGAAAATCACCATTGAACTGAAGAAGGAAATTGTAGAAAACCATGAGCATGATATTAATGTGACTGGTCTGACTTTGGAGTACAAAACAGAAAAATCGACTATTTGGAAATACAAAGATGCCAAAGGGAGTCATGGTCATGAGGTTAACCAAGCAAAGGACATGAGGGCCTGCAATGTGGAAAGCTTTTGTTAGTGTGGTTGAATGAGGAACAGTTAGCAGGTGATAGCATTAGTGAAGAAGCTGGAATATGTGAAAAAGCCAGGAGACTGCATAGTGATTTACTGCAGGAGAAGCCCCTCTAACAAATGATAAACTGAACAAATGATAAACTGAAAGCCAGTGGAGGGTGGTTTGATAAATTCCACAATTCAGGTGGGATTCACAGTGTGATAAGACGTAGTGAGGATTCTAGTTCTGACAAGTCTTCTGTAGATGCCTACAACAAAGAATTTTTGGAATTCATGAAGACAGAAAGATACATTGCTTAATGTGTTCAACTATGATGAAACAGAGTTCTTTGGGAAGAAGGAGCCAAATAAAACCTACAACATAACATGCAGGAAGACAAGGCACTGTCAGGGCACAAACCCATGAAGGACAGACTGACCCATTTGTTATGTGTAAATGCAAGTACTGACCTGGAGATTGAGCCACTACTGGTATGCTATTCCCAGACTCTCTGCATAGAAGGAACAGAATATGAACAAGGCCAGATGCCTATTATGTGGAGGGTCAATGGGAAAGCTTGAGTCACAAGCAATTGTTTATGGAATGGCTGAATGAGTTGGTCACACCTACCATTAAGAAATATCATTCTGACAATCAGCTGCCTGAAAGGTGCCTTCTGCTCATAGACAGTACACTGACATTCTCATCCTTGATGGGTGGATGATACATACACTGAGTATGACTTTATAAGGTCAAAAGAAATTCCTCCCCCAACACAATACCTGTTCTGCAGCCTGTAGACCAGCAAGTGATCTGTGACTTCAAGAAGTTATACACAAAGACACTGTTCACCAGGTGTTTTAATGTCTTGAAGATATGTCCTTGACTTTGAAAGAGTTCTGGAAAAAACATTTCAATGTCTTCCACTGCATCTACCTCATTGACAAAACCTGGGAAGATGTCACACACCTCACTTTACACTCAACCTGGAAGAAACCAAGTGGCCAGAATATGTCACTGAATGTGACCTTGAAGAGTCGGATGCATAAGGAGTGAAGAAGATTGTGATCATGTGAAAGAGGATAAGTATGGACCTCAGAGCAGTCATAGAGGAGCTTGTTCAGGATCATAAAGCAGAGCTGATGGTGGAAGAACTTGCTGGACTCCAGAATGAGCAACAGAATGTACTTGTTGAGGAGATCCCACTGAGGAATAGGAAGACCAAGAGGAGCTTAGTAGTGATGTGATAAAATCCACTATAGAAAAATGGAATGAATGCCAGGATTTCTTTGAGAAAGACCACCTCAACATAACTGTAACGAACAGAGTATGAAATCTGATGAGTAATAATACAGTCTCTCTTTTCTAGAGGATTATACAGCACAATAAACAATAAGTAACATTAGACAGAGTTTTTATTTTTGGTCAAAATTGACCCTGCAAATAAGAGAAACAGAAGAGAGGAAAAATCTTTGAAAAAATCTTAGAAAGAGATTTTCCCACTTTTCTTATGGTGGTGAACTCTCCATCTAAACAAAAATCTCCCCACCTTCCTTCCTGGCCTCCATGACAAAGTTGCCTCCAGCAAGGTTGTGTTCTCTCTCTTCACACTGTACTATACTGTATTATGTTTCATATTTTGTGGCTAAAAAATATATACCTGGATCAGAACATTATTTACATTGAAACTTATGGGAAAATTTGATTTGGTTCAGGCCCAATTTGGTTTGGATCAGAATCACAGAATGAATTGTTTGTGAACTGAGGCACTACTGTAAGGGCAGAGATAAATTATCCATGGCCTCATATTCTCTGAAATGACAGAAGGCTGATTCTCAGCTCCTCTTTTGGTGGAGCAGAAACAAAAGGCAGATTACAGAGGAGGGATGGACAGGAAATAGAGATTCCCTGAGGTGCTGATTTAAGAATCATTGACCACCAAGGAAAGAAACACTAGAGACTGTTATGATTTAAGAGATTTCACTGAATTGAGCAAGCCGTGAAGAAAACTGTATTGTCCTCCTGGCCTGTTAAAATCTCACACTGTATTAAATAGTCCCAGTCAACTACTGATATCTCCTTACCCACACACAAGTCTGCATGGAAGAACTTGGATTTCCTGAGCAATTCAGCCTGGAACAATTCTTAGTAACGGAAAGTACTCAGTAGCAGCATTCACTTCATGTTTTGATAATACCTTCTAAACACATGAAAGCTGACCTCCAGAACTGCTTCAAAAAGTGGCAAGAACAATGGGATAAGTATGTTCAAAG